TTTTCCTCTCATAACAGCAGTAGACTTTTATTCAAACACTAGCCTTTATTTATAAAAGATAGGTTCTATAGAACAATGCTGCTAGAATAGCCTGTGGTCATGGCAAGCAGTATAATGAAAATTACCTGAATGAGGGGACAGGCTTAATGAAACCAGCTTTGTGAGAAAGTACAATCTCAGATCATCATAGCCTTTTTAATAGGAAAGTTGGCAGCATTTCTTAACTAAATTTTGATAAACCACAACAAACCTTTCTGGAGTTCAATGTGGCCCTTTATTATTGGTTTAAACAATGTGTGTAATGTAACATAAACTTTAAATTATTAAAAAAACACATTTAAAATTCACTTCTATAAACTCAGTCAATACGACCCAAGTTTAAACAAACATCAGCTTTGCTATTAATCGCTACTATAAGGCTTTTTCTAAATTTACTATCTCTCATTGGTTTATGCATAAAATAAAGAAATAATAAATGAACTTGTAAAAACATATTTAAAATTACCTCATATAAACATATTTAAAATTCTAATGACCACCCAATCAAAGCCCAAGCTTAGTAGCTTCCATAGACGATACGGAAAGAGTGTATGTATATATACAGTGTATATATATATATATATATATATATATATATATATATATATACTACTCTAAAAAATAAAGGAACACTTTTTAATCAGAAGATAGCATCAATTCAGTTAAACTCCTGGGATATTGATCTAGTCCGTTAAGTAGCAGAGAGGGTTGTTAGTCAGTTTCAGCTGCTTTGGTGTTAATGAAATTAACAACAGGTGCACTAGAATGGCAACAGTGAGACAACCCCCAAAACAGGAATGTTTTTACAGGTGGAGGCCACTGACATTTTTTCCCTACTCATCTTTTCTCACTTTTTTCACTAATTTTGCATTTGGCTAAGGGTCAGTGTCACTACTGGTAGCATGAGGCAATACCTGGACCCTACAGAGGTTGCACAGTCAGTCCAACTCCTCTAGGATGGCACATCAATATGTGCCATTGCCAGAAGGTTTGCTATGTCTCCCAGCACAGTCTCAAGAGCATGGAGGAGATTCCAGGAGACTACAGTTTCTCTAGGAGAGGTGGACAGGGCTGTAGAAGGTCCTTAACCCATCATCCGGCCCAGTATCTGCTCCTTTGTTCAAGGAGGAACAGGATTAGCACTGCCAGAGCCCTACAAAATGACCTCCAGCTGCAACTGGTGTGAATGTCTCTGACCAAACAATCAGAAACAGACTTCATGAGGGTGGTCTGAGGGCCCAAAATCCTCTAGTGGGCCCTGTGCTCACTACCTGGCACCATAAAGCTCGATTGGCATTTGCCATTGAACATCAAAATTGGCAGGTCCGCCACTGGCACCCTGTGCTTTTCACAGATGAGAGCAGGTTCACCCTGAGCACATGTGACAGACACGAAAGGGTCTGGAGATGCAGTGGAAAACGTTATGCTGCCTGTAACATCATTCAGCATGACATTTTTGGTGGTGGGTCAGTGATGGTTTGGGGAGGCATATCCATGGAGGGGCGCACAGACCTCTACAGGCTAGACAATGGCATCCTGACTGCCATTAGGTATCGGGATGAAATCCTTGGACCCATTGTCAGACCCTACACTGGTACAGTAGGTCCTGGGTTCCTCCTGCTGCACGTCAATGCCCGACCTCATGTGGTGAGAATATGCAGGCAGTTCCTGAAGGATGAAGGAATTGAATGGCCCCCATGCTCTCCTGACCTAAATCCAATAGAGCACCTCTGCAATATCATGTTTTGGTCCATCCAACGCCGCCAGGTTGCACCTCAGACTGCACAGGAGCTCAGTGATGACCTGATCCAGATCTGGGAGGGAAATACCTCAGGACACCATCTGTCATCTCATTAGGAGCATGCCCCGATGTTTTCAGGCATGCATACAAGCACATAGGTGCCATAAAGACTACTGATTACATTCTGAGTTGCTGAAATACATTTTCAACAAAATGGACTAGCCTGCTGCATCATTTTTTCACTTTGATTTACGGGGTGTCTTTGAATTCAATCCTCTGTAGATTGATCATTTTCATTTCCATCAAACAATGGGGCATCCTTGCATTCCTAACACATTACCCAGTCCATATCAGTATAGATATCCAGCATAATATTTTTCCCCATTGATGTGTTTTCAAAGTTTTCCTTTAGTTTTTTTTGAGCAGTGTATATCTCCAACTCCTTTAATAACATTTAGAAGAGCAACTTCTATCAGGGATTGAGTTACCAGAAGTGAGTTCAAGAGGGGGGCTCAAGGAGGCCCTTGTAAATTCAAGGGGACATATACAGTGGATATAAAAAAAAAAATATAATAAATCCTCTTTAGTGTCAGTCAAACAATCTTCAATGTGATAATCCAAAAATGAAATCCAATATCGCAGTGTACCTCAAAAAATACAAAAACTAAAATAGTGTATTATCCTCAGTGTAACCATTACAACCATATATACATATGTGAAAAATTGTGACAAACACAATATACTTGAGTGAGAACACATAAATTAGTGCAACACCCCATGTGAATACTCTTACCATCAAAATGTGATTAAAAAAAAAGCCTTAATCCAATTGCCACTACTTCTTCAGTAGATCCTCCAACGTTATGTCAAATGCCAGACATACTATGCTTTCAAGTTTGATATATATCCCAGCCAATCACAGGTAAACACCCATAGAAAAGAGAGAATAGCCATATAATGTAATATATCACCCTTAAGGGACATGATGTCAGGACATTGCACGGTGACCGGAAGTGCCCGAGCGGCCATTTTAACTTAGGGAATATCACAATTGGTGTGCCTGGAAACTGCTCTGCAGGCGGAATGGGAATGGGAATTTGAAACGGGTTTTATGTGTTTTTATTATAGTTTACATGTAAGCACAACCAATAAAGTCTGGATATATTTATGTGACATATTACACAATTAAAAATGAAATAAAGATAAATCACTTCAGAACCTTTTCCACCTTTAATGTGACCTATAAACTGTACAACTCAGTTAACCAACAAACTGAAATATTTTAGGTGGAGGGAAGTAAAAATAAAAAGCTAAAAAAATATGTTTGCAGAAGTGTGCACACCCTTAAACTAATACTTTGTTGAAGCACCTTTTGATTTTATTACAGTGCTCAGACCTTTTGGGTATGAGTCTATCAGCATGACACATCTTGACTTGGCAATATTTGTCCACTCTTCCTTGCAAAAACACTCCAAATCTGTCACATTGCAAGAGCATCTCCTGTGCACAGCCCTCTTCAGATCACCCCACAGATTTTCCATCGGATTTAGGTCTGGGTTCTGGCTGGGCCATTAAAAAACTTTAACCTTCTTTGGGTGAAGCCATTCCTTTGTTGATTTGGATGTATGCTTTAGGTCGTTGTCATGCTGAAAGATGAAGTTCCTCTTCATATTCAGCTTTCTAGCAGAAGCCTGAAGGTTTTGTGCCAATATTGAATGGTATTTGGAACTGTTCATAATTCCCTCTACCTTGACTAAGGCCCCAGTTCCAGCTGAAGAAAAAAAGCCCCAAAGCATGATGCTGCCACCACCATGCTTCTCTGTGGGTATGTGTTCTTTTGGTGATGTGCAGTGTTTTTTTTTCGTGCCAAACATATCTTTTGGAATTATGGCCAAAAAGTTCAACTTTGGTTTCGTCAGACCATAATACTTTTTCCCACATACTTTTGGGAGACTCCAGATGTGTTTTTGCAAAAATTAGCCGGGCTTGGAGGTTTTTCTTCGTAATAAAAGGCTTCTGTCTTGCCACTCTACCCCAAAGCCCAGACATATGACGGATACGGGAGATTGTTGTCACATGTACCACACAGCCAGTACTTGCCAGATATTCCTCCAATCTATCCTTCCAGTCCCAAGTCCAATCACTAACAAACTCATGCAGACTCCACCTCCACAACATCGCCAAAATACGCCCATTCCTAACCCCAGAAACTACTAAGCAGCTCATCCACTCCCTCATCATATCACGACTCAATTATTGCAACTCCCTCCTCACTGGCCTGCCTCACAACAGGCTATCCCCACTTCAGTCGATACTGAATACGGCGGCCAGACTCATCCACCTTACCAACCGCTCCGTTTCCGCCCCCCCCTGCCAATCCCTCCACTGGCTTCCGATTGCCCAAGGGATCAAATTCAAACTGCTAACACTGACGTACAAAGCTGTCCATAATTCTGCCCCAAACTACATCACCGACCTAATATCGAAATACCACCCAAAACGCACTCTCTGCTCTTCACAAGATCTCCTTCTCTCTAGTTCCGTGATCTCCTCCTCCCATGCCCGCCTCCAGGACTTCTCCAGGGCATCACCCATCCTCTGGAACTCCCTACCCCAATCCATCAGACTATCACCCACTCTCCTCTCCTTTAGGTGCATCCTAAAAACCCACCTCTTCAGGGAAGCCTACCCCACCCTTTGCTAACTGCCGATCTCCTCCACTCTTCCTACCACTCCATCCCCCACAGCTTTTCCTCCTGTACCACTATCCCCTCCCTCCTAGATTGTAAGCTCCAAGGAGCAGGGCCCTCGAACCCCTCGTGTATTGCACTGTTTTGTTATTGCAATGTCTCATGTATTGTCTCCCATTGTAATGTACAGCGCTGAGCGAACTGTTGGCGCTATATAAATACTGTATAATAATAATAATAATTAGAGATGAGCGAAGTATTCAAAAATTCGATTCGACTGATTCAGCGAATTCGTGGACAATATTCCCTTTAATTTAAATGCCCTTGGAGTCTGCTGGGGAAGAGAAATAATACTGTCAGTCAGTATGACATGCAGATGAGTGCCGTCGATCTTAGAATCACCGCACACTTCACTCATTTGGCCAGTCACGGGGCCAAAACCAGTGTTTGGAGCCACAGTGTGGCGGTGGAGGCAGCAGCAATGGGAGGCCATACAGCAACCTATGACAAAATGGAAACCAGCAGGAGTGTGAGGAGACCTCAAAGTGGCACATGGCAGAGTGGGAGCAATGGGAGGCGGTACAGGGACCCATGTCACACTGTGGACCCAGCAGCAGCGTGACCAGGCGGTACGGGGGCCCATGGCAGATTTGGGGCCTGGCAGCACCTATGGGAGGCCTGTAATCTGCCAGCAACCTATGACAAAATGGAAACCAGCAGGAGTGTGAGGAGACCTGAAAGTGGCACATGGCAGAGTGGGAGCAATGGGAGGCGGTACAGGGACCCATGTCACACTGTGGACCCAGCAGCAGCGTGACCAGGCGGTACGGGGGCCCATGGCAGATTACAGGCCTGGCAGCAGCAATGGGAGGCAAGTAATCTGCCAGCACCCTATGACAAAAAATGGAAACACACCAGCAGTGTGTGAGGAGACCTGAAAGTGGCACATGGCAGAGTGTGGCGATGGAGACAGCAGCAATGGGAGGCCGTACAGGGACCCATGACAGACTCTGGACCTGGCAGCAGCATGAGGCGGCGGTATAGGGGCCCATGGCAGATTAGGGGCCTGGCAGCAGCTATAGGAGGCCCGTAATCTGCCAGCACCCTATGTCAAAAAATTCAACACACCAGCAGTGTGAGGAGACCTGAAAGTGGCACATGGCAGAGTGTGGCGATGGAGACAGCAGCAATGGGAGGCCGTACAGGGACCCATGAGAGACTCTGGACTTGGCAGCAGCATGAGGAGGCGGTATAGGGGCCCATGGCAGATTAGGGGCCTGGCAGCAGCTATAGGAGGCCCATAATCTGCCAGCACCCTATGTCAAAAAATTCAACACACCAGCAGTGTGAGGAGACCTGAAAGTGGCACATGGCAGAGTGTGGCGATGGAGACAGCAGCAATGGGAGGCCGTACAGGGACCCATGAGAGACTCTGGACTTGGCAGCAGCATGAGGAGGCGGTATATAGGGGCCCATGGCAGATTAGGGGCCTGGCAGCAGCTATGGGAGGCCCGTAATCTGCCAGCACCCTATGTCAAAAAATTCAACACACCAGCAGTGTGAGGAGACCTGAAAGTGGCACATGGCAGAGTGTGGCGATGGAGACAGCAGAAATGGGAGGCCGTACAGGGACCCATGACAGACTCTGGACTTGGCAGCAGCATGAGGAGGCGGTATAGGGGCCCATGGCAGATTAGGGGCCTGGCAGCAGCTATGGGAGGCCCGTAATCTGCCAGCACCCTATGTCAAAAAATTGAACACACCAGCAGTGTGAGGAGACCTGAAAGTGGCACATGGCAGAGTGTGGCGATGGAGACAGCAGCAATGGGAGGCCGTACAGGGACCCATGAGAGACTCTGGACTTTGGCAGCAGCATGAGGAGGCGGTATAGGGGCCCATGGCAGATTAGGGGCCTGGCAGCAGCTATGGGAGGCCCGTAATCTGCCAGCACCCTATGACAAAAAATGGAACACACCAGCAGTGTGAGGAGACCTGAAAGTGGCACATGTTTGGGGCATGATTCATGGCGGATTTAGTCAGTTGTGTCAGGAACTGGTGGTTTGAAATCCAGACTAATCCACGCCTGATTCATTTTCACAAACGTGAGTCTCTCCACACTTTGGGTGGACAGTTTGTGTCCTCCACGGAGTTGCAATACCTCCTGCCGCACTGAAACACGCGCTCCGATGCCACGCTACTGGCCGGGGCATGACAGCCTTTCAAGGGCAAATTCAGCTAGTTGGGGCCAAAGGTCAAGTTTCGTTGCCCAGTAGTCAAGGGGATTGTCTACCTCGGTTGGCAGGGTGCTGTCCAAGTAGGCCTAAGCCTGTTGTTTGAGGTCCTGCTCCAGGTCCACCTGATGTGCTGGCTGCTGCCTGACTGCGGCTGGTTATTAGTTTCAGGGACTCACATGAGCGCTGGTGAAGAAAGAGGAGCTACTCAAATCATCGACTGCAGATTATGAGGCAGCAGCTGCTGCTTGGTGGAGCTGCCAACTGCTCCAGCTACCACCCCCACCCCTGGAACCCTGCTGCCATGGCAGCGTAACGCGAGCGCACAGGGCCCCAGAGTGTCTGTGCGGATGGACGCTTGGCGAGCAGACAGGCAGAGAAAGCTGACACTACATTAGGTGGTTTTTATAGTACGTTTATTTTGGGCATCCTCTCAGCAGGTGTGTGAAAAAGGGGCACCATATTTGGAACAGGTAGCGAGGGTCCAACAAGGTGGACCCGCATATGCCAAAAGTCATCCCTCTGTCTGATGGTGAAATTATTCGGCTGTCGGTACGCAAGCAAGCGAGCATGCTATGGGCCATTTAGTGCCAAGGAATGCGAGGGACTCCCTGCCAGGCCATCTCCACATGGCAGAATTACTGCCCAAGGTGCGTCTGGGTAGGCCCTAATCTGTCCCTCATTTCCTCCTTCCTCTACCAGATGCTCCTGCCTCCTCATGAGACACTGTGAGACCTTGTCCGCTGAGTGCGGAAAAACACACCACCCATTTCACTCAATAATTCCTGAGCACTATAGGATGTCCGTAATCCTCTACCTCCTCCTATTTCTTCCAGTCCTTGCACTACCCACAGGGGTCTGAAAGTGGCGTTGAGATCGTGTGCGCACGTCTACCGCCACCATGAGGCCTACAGCCCATTATTAAACTCAGCATTTTGGTTCCAGGACGTGCATGGCAACAGAGGAAGCTATTGACATAGTTGCCAGCATCCCTATGTCAAAAAACATAGCACCAGCCGACGTCACGAATAGCAGTGGCAAATGGCATCAAACTGGGGCCTGAGCAGCAAGCGCAGGTGTCACGCATCGAGCTCCAATGGCTGACATCTAAGTTACACAGGGAGTTACCTTTATCCGCATTTTAAAATCAGGAAATCAGTGTTGATGGCCTTTAGTGTGCTGTTCGTAAAGTGGCGGTCAGAACATATGTAGAGGTTGTAACAAGGGACCCCTTGTTGCAACGTACACAGCATGAGGAGTCGGTACGGGGGCCCATGGCAGATACGGGCCTGTCAGCAGCAATGGGAGGCCCGTAATCTGCCAGCACCCTATGTCAAAAAATTCAACACACCAGCAGTGTGTGAGGAGACCTGAAAGTGGCTCACCATGGCAGAGTGGTGGCGATGGAGACAGCAGCAAATGGGAGGCCGTACAGGGGACCCATGGAGAGACTCTGGACCTGGCAGCAGCATGAGGGAGGCGGTATATAGGGGCCCATGGCAGATTAGGGGCCTGGGCAGCAGCTATGGGAGGCCCGTAATCTGCCAGCACCCTATGTCAAAAAATTCAAACACACCAGCAGTGTGTGAGGAGACCTGAAAGTGGCACATGGCAATGGAAGACCACACTGAGGACCTAGCAGGCCATAGCAGCATGGACCTGGAGGCGGTAGGCGTACGGGGCCCATGGCAGATTAGGGGCCTGGCAGCAGCTATAGAAGGCCCGTAATCTGCCAGCACCCTATGACAAAAAAATTCAAACACACCAGCAGTGTGAGGAGACCTGAAAGTGGCACATGGCAGAGGTTGGTGGCTGATGGAGACAGCAGCAATAGGATGCCCGTACAGGGACCCATGAGATACTCTGGAACATGGCAGCATGCATGAGGAGGCGTTATATAGGGGCCCATGGCAGATTAGGGGCCTGGGCATTCAGCTATGGGAGGGCCCGTAATCTGCCAGTACCCTATGTCAAAAATTCAACACACCAGCAGTGTGTGGTGAGGAGACCTGGAAAGTGGCACAAATGGCAGAGTGTGGCGATGGAAACAGCAGACAATGGGAGGCCGTACAGGGACCCCATGACAGACTCTGGACCCTGGCAAGCAGCATGAGGAGGCGGTATAGGGGCAAATTTTAAGGGCCCATGGCAGATTAGGGGCCAGGCAGCAGCTATAGGAGGCCCGTAATCTGCCAGCACCCTATGTCAAAAAATTCAACACCCCAGCAGTGTGAGGAGACCTGAAAGTGTGGCACATGGCAGAGTGTTTTGCGATGGAGACAGCAGCAATGGGAGGGCCGTACAGGGACCCATGAGAGACTCTGGACTGGCAGCAGCATGAGATAGGCCGGTATATATGGGCCCATGGCAGATTAGGGGCCTGGCAGCAGCTATGGAGGGCCCGTAATCTGCCATGCACCCTATGTCAAAAAAAATTCAACACACCAGCAGTGTGTGGAGGAGACCTGAAAGTGGCACATGGCAGAGTGTGGCGATGGAGACAGCAGCAATGGGAGGCCGTACAGGGACCCATGAGAGACTCTGGTACCTGGCAGCAGCATGAGGAGGCGGTATATAGGGGCCCATGGCAGATTAGTGGCCTGGCAGCAGCTATGGGAGGCCCGTATTATCTGCCATGCACCCTATGTCAAAAAATTCAACACACCAGCAGTGTGTGAGGAGACCTGAAAGTGGCACATGGCAGAGTGTGGCGATGGAGACAGCAGCAATGGGAGGCCGTACAGGGACCCATGAGAGACTCTGGACCTGGCAGCGAGCATCTATGGAGGCGCGTATATAGGGGCACCCATGGCAGATTAGAGGGGCCTGGCAGCCAGCTATGGGAGGCCCAGTTAATCTGAACCTGCACCCTATGTCAAAAAATTGAATACAGACCAGCAGTGTGAAGGAGACCTAGAAAGATGGCCCATGGCATGAGAGACTGTGGACCTGGGCAGCAGCATGAGGAGGCGGTATAGGGGGCCCATGGCAGATTAGGGGCCCTGGCAGCAGCTATGGGAGGCCCGTAATCTGCCAGCACCCTATGGTCAAAAATTCAACACACCAGCAGTGTGAGTAGACCTGAAAAGTGGCACATGCATGAGAGACTGTGGACCTGGCAGCAGCATGAGGAGGCAGGTATCAGGGGCCCATGGCAGATTAGGGGGCCCATGGCAGCAGCTATGGGACAGCCCGTAAATCTGCCAGCACCCTATGTCAAAAAAAATTCAACACACCAGCAGTGTGGAGGGAGACCTGAAAGTGGCACATGAGCAGTGAGTGTGGCGTATGGAGACAGCACAGCAATGGGAGGCCGTACAGGGACCCATGACAGACTCTGGACCTCGGCAGCAGCATGAGGAGGCGTGTATAGGGGCCCATGGCAGATTAAGGGCGCCTGGCAGCAGCTATAGGAGGTCCCGTATTCTGCCATACACCCTATGTCAAAAAATTCAACCACAGCCATGCAGTGTGAGGAGACCTGAAGAAAGTGGGCACATGGCAGAGTGTGGCGATGGAGACAGCCCAATCAATGGGAGGCCGTACAGGGAACCATAGAGCGACTCTGGACCTCGGCAGCAGCATGAGGGGCGGTATACTAGGTGCCCATGGCAGATTATGGGGCCTGGCAGCAGCTATGGGAGGCCCGTAATCTGCCAGCACCCTATGTCAAAAAATTCAACACACCAGCAGTGTGTGAGGAGACCCTGAAAGTGGCACATGGCAGAGTGTGGCGATGGAGACAGCAGGCATCAATGGGAGGCCCGTACA